GGGGGGGGGTGAGATTTCTTTTTCTCTTTTTTTTTTGTTCTTTTTTTTTTTGAATAAGAAAAGAGGGGGGGGAGGAGCTTTGATGGGGATTGGAAATGGAAATGTGCAAATATATGAAGAATAGAGTGGATAATAGCGATGGAAGGGTGATGCACGGGGTTTACTGAGGGGTGTTCGGTAGAGAGAGTAAGGAAATAATACTAGTATTATTTCTACTACTACTATTACTACTGTGGAATTTATATTGGGGGAGGAGAAAAGGGGGGGACGGAAGAGGTAAATAAGATAATTATATGCAAGTCAGTAACACCCCCTAACCTCTACCTTACACCACAACACAACACAACGAACTAGGTACACATCATCAAGCTTTTCAGACAAACACCCTCAAAAGCAGTCCACCCCCCCCTCATTACGCATAGAATAATGAACGAACGAACGAACGCCCCGTAGAAAAGGCAAGATAGGTAGGGTACCTAACCACCCAACAATCCCGCCCTTAACGAACGCCGGTGCTATGAATGCAGTGAAACCAACCTCCCTCCTCTCCATCTTATCAAACACACATCATCAATATATACCTAGGTCTAGCTCGATCCATTCCATTTCGTACCGTAAGGTTAGGTAACTGTTAGGCTCTGAGCATGCCTCTCAAAGCACCGCTTTTTAAGCCGCGGCCCGCACTCGCTGGCGCCGAGATGTCACGCCGGCTCTCGGGACCTGAGGTTGGTTTCTTGGGCGTTAAGGTGCCGTTGGCGAGGCTGCGGGCGCGGCCGCGACGGGCGCGGATCTGGGCGAGTGCTTCTTCGCGGGACATGGTAGGGCCGAGGTCAGGGTTGGAGAGAGGGATGGTGGTGGTGGTGGAGATGGTGTGGAAGACGGGTTCTCGGGGTGCGGGGGAGGGTGCACGCACTACTGTGTCGTCGTTGTCCTCATTGTCCTCAATGGCATTGTCGTTGTCATTCTCTGTTTCAACGGAATGGTGTGGAGCGTCGAAGAGGGAGAGGAGAGAGGTGTTGGCGTCTAGGGAGACGGCTAGCGCGGGGGGTTCACAGGAAGGGGTTCGAGCATAGCTTAAAGGCTCAGTGGGTTGGGCATCCTGAGGAGGATCCATGGGCGACAGCATGTTGTTCGCTGGCGAGATCCAGGGTGACGCCTTGGGTGCCTTGGGTGCTCCCTCCGGTGCTTCCCCTGGTACTTTCTCTGGTACTTCCTCAGGTCTTTCATTTGGTACATCCTGTGGTGCTTCCTGTAGTACTCCCTGTGGTACATCCTGTGGTACTTCCCGTGATGCTTCCGGTGGTACGTCTTGTGGTACATCTTGTGATGCATCCTGTGGTATTTCCCGTGGTGCGTCCTGTGGTGCTCCCCGTGAAGCTGGAGATATTTTTCTAAAGACCCCTTCAGCAGGGATGAAGATTGTACTTGAGCGGCTGGCTTCCACCGGCAAAGATGTTGATGCTTGGTCACTGCTGCCTGTCGGCTCCACGGGGCGTGTTGCTCTTGATACGCAGCAATTGAGTCTGCATTCGAGTTCGAGGAACTCCACGCGCTCATGAGCCCTATCTGCGCGTTGCTGCTCCCACTGTAATCGCATCCTCATGTCGTCCAACTCGTCTTCGCTCGCGGCTGAAGAGGTGATGGTGGCGAGATCAACAGACTTGCGTGCTTTCTTCGGGGATGCGAATTCATCGTCTTGTGGAGAAGGGGGGAGTGGGATTCGACCCTCAGCAGCGATCCTTGCGATCTCCTCATGCTTAGCAATAGTCTTCAGCGCATCCCGTTCCTGCTCCACCAGCTTGATCTTCTCCTGCATTTGTGCCAGCTCTTCTTGAACCCCGACTAATTGGTAGCGTGCTGCGAAAGCTTCCTGTTCCCTTTTCATGCCACGCTCCTTCTCCTCCTCTAGGTCCGCCTGGACAAGCTTGGCCATATTCCGTGCGGTCTTCAATTCCTCTTGAAGCTTGACGACCACAGACTGTGATTTGAAGTTTTCCTTGCGTGCTCGCCGTATCTCCTTCTCCCATAAAGCCTGTGTATGAGCATGGGTTTCTTTGGCCCTGCCGTAGTTCTCCTGCGAATCATCAGCAACGGTGCTCTACCACAGCGGGTAATGCGTACCATAACGCTCTCCAACCTCTCGCCAACCTTTCTCTCTCGATCCTTTCCCTCTTCTATCTGCCGGCGCAATGCCCGCGCCTCCTCCCTATACCGGCGCATCTCGCTCTCGGCCTCCTCTCTGCCCAGCATCGCCCGCTTGAGAGCTGCATCGTTCGCCTTCCTCTCTAATTGCTTCCCTTGCATGGCAACGGAGTTGAGCGCGGCAATCTTGTCTTGCACGGAGCCGGTCCGTTCATGGCGTTCAGGTCGTTCCCGCCCAGCTGCCGCGGGCAATTCCAACTCGAATGTCGAGAGAGGACGCTGCTTGTTCACGCGGTCCGGGGAAGCAGGGAAGAGCGGGGTCCCTGGTGGGCCAGGGAGTTTGTGGGTTGGATCCATCCAAGAGGGACGGAGAGCTGATTATGATGGCTTGAAAGAAGATTGGGTGTTGGTGTAATAAAAGGGAGGTTCTTCAAGACCTTACTCGGTACTCAGACAAAACTCAAGACAACAATTGAGGTTGACCAGCATTGAGTAAGTGAGCGGTCTGAGGATCTCTGCAAAGAATGTTTACCTTTGGTCGCGCAAGGCAGGGTTTGGCCTCGGCTGCGTTGCTAGAGGGAAACGGGTGTCGGAAAGGCTGGATAGATCCCGTGGCCGCTGATTGGCTGAGGTGCATTAGTCAGCTGGGTGAATTACCCGGATGTGGGTGTCAAATCTTGATGTTTGTTTTGCTTGTTTTGCCATTATTTTGGCATTACGCGGCGTATTATCTGTTATTATCTGGTATTATCTCGGTATTCTGGCGCCCCTTTCCCGTCGCCCCTTTTATCGGATCGACGTCGTTCCCAATATGCCCGCTGGCCATGCTGAGGTGCAGATTTGGATGGCGATATACAATGCGTGTCTCTCTAGAGTCTCTCCCATATCCACGATCGTGATCATAGCAATAAATATGTAAAAGATAGATGTACTGTGCCTGCCGACGGCACAATGTGCTCCCCCCGGACTTCTCCTTTTTACAGCCACCGGCCCGTGCTTTTACCGTAATTACGCCCGCTGGATGCTCGGGAGAATACGGCAATTTGCACCGGCGCTAATTACTCGCCAGGCCGCCCAAGGCCGCCCAGCGCCATTTTTAAAGCCGTGTCCATTTCGACACCCTTCCCGACTTCATACAAAAACTTTTCTCTCCCATCAACCCGTCTCTCATCCATCCCATCTCTTCTCATACCCCCATCTCCTCTCAGTCCTTTGATCGTTCGATCACCAGTCGCAGCCATGTCCAACGAACCCCCAAAGAAGCAGTCCATTATGGGCGTGTACGTATTCCAACTTCTCTCCGCTCCCCCGTTGTCGCGATCACCTCCCGTCCAAGAGATTCACAACCAGCGACCGCGAGCATCGAGGAGGCCCAATTGGCTTCAGCAAGCAGCCCCGACATCTCCAATCTCAGTTGGGACTGGGCTGTCGGCTTCGTCGGTGCTCAATGGCGCTGCGATTGCAAATCTCTTCGACATCTACCTCGCATCTGCCACCCACGTGAAAGAGCCAAAGCTGACATGTTTACGAACAGCCCTCCCTTCGTTATTGATTTCCTGAGTATGTCAACCATTCCCGACCCATATCGATCTTTATCGCTGTCGCCTGCGATGGCCGTTGTTGGTTCTTGATCTACGGATGCCGCGAGGAATACAGACATATACAACAGCAACTAACAGGACAACAGTGGGTGGTGTCTCCGCCGCCGTCTCCAAGACTGCCGCTGCTCCCATCGAGCGTGTCAAGCTCCTGATCCAGAACCAGGTATGTTTACAATATCTAACAATTTCCTTAACTTCGAGGCTGTTCCGGATATCCGTATCGGGACTCGCCGCTCTTGGCTCTCCAATGGGCATTCAACAACCGCATTGGGCGACATACAGGTGCATACAGGGACAAAATTGGCTGACCCCTTATAGGATGAGATGTTGAAGAGTGGTCGTCTTGACCGAAAATACGATGGTATCGTCGAGTGTTTCCGACGAACCACCGCCCAGGAGGGTGTTGCCTCCCTGTGGCGTGGTAACACTGCCAACGTTATCCGTTACTTCCCTACCCAAGCCCTCAACTTCGCTTTCCGTGACACCTACAAGTCCATGTTCGCCTTCAAGAAGGACCGTGATGGATACGCCAAGTGGATGGCCGGTAACTTGGCCTCTGGTGGTGTAAGTTCCCCAAGGCCCGCATGAACGGGGCTCGAAGCTAATCCTTACAGGCTGCCGGTGCCACTTCCCTTCTCTTCGTCTACTCCCTCGACTACGCCCGTACTCGTCTGGCCAACGACAACAAGAACGCCAAGACTGGTGGTGAGCGTCAATTCAACGGTCTGATCGACGTCTACAAGAAGACCCTCGCCTCCGACGGTATTGCCGGTCTCTACCGTGGTTTCGGTCCTTCCGTCGCTGGTATCGTCGTCTACCGTGGTCTCTACTTCGGTATGTACGACTCCATCAAGCCTGTCGTCCTTGTCGGTCCTCTCGAGGGTAACTTCATCGCCTCCTTCCTTCTCGGATGGTCCGTCACCACTGGTGCCGGTATCGCCTCTTACCCTCTCGACACCATCCGTCGTCGTATGATGATGACCTCTGGTGAGGCTGTCAAGTACAAGTCTTCCATGGATGCCGCCCGCCAAATCATTGCCAAGGAGGGTGTCAAGTCTCTCTTCAAGGGTGCTGGTGCCAACATCCTCCGTGGTGTTGCTGGTGCTGGTGTGCTGTCCATCTACGACCAAATGCAGGTCCTCCTGTTCGGCAAGGCCTTCAAATAGATGGTTTCGCCTGCGTAGATGGTTGGGATGAAATGGAGAGTGGGGGAGTAATGAATGGTGCGGCAGGTGGAAGTTGTTCACAACAATACACCCATCGCTATGGTGTTGGAGCAACTTGCAGTTGATTAGGGGTTCCGATATCACTGCTGTACTTTATTACCTAGGCAATTTTCCTCGATGTGTTCCCGTTTGGTTTGCTGCTTTCCTTGGATGCTTCTTTCTTCATGGTCTTATGCTGCATGGTCCGATAGATTAGTGAAGATGGGGGTATCAAAATCGAATGGAAACATTCAATCTACGTTTGGTGCATGATGCGTCGTAATCGTGAGTTTGTGGTGACATTGACACAATTGATCGGACAGAGTATTTAACCAGAAAGTATATTTAGGAGAGGCCACAGAGTAGGTAGTTATCTGTTTCTTGTGAATTCCCTCGTTGCGCCTCGATCTGATGGCGTTGAGGATGACCAATGCGGCTGCGATGCCACACATCCTCCTTCGACTCTGGGAGCTACCTCTGCACGAACATCACCATCCTGATTCCTCACAGCCGCAGGTCTTGGATCCAAGGTCAAAAATCGAGAGATATATCATATACACACATCTATTACATAACGGTGCCGTATAGCATCGTCACATAAGTCTCATCGAACAACGACCGGCTCTTCCCCGCCTTCGCTTGTGCACGGCGGGCGCTCCCCATGGTTCTGGTTCATCTGGTCCTGGTCCACCAGCCTACCTTACATCCCTCACATACCTTACCTTACATTACATTACACACCTTACATATCTTACATACATATCTTACATGATGTCGACCAGTGAGTGACGACAATGTCTTCCGGGCTCTGGACTCTTCATTCCTCCGATGCCGTCTTTCTTCCCTCTGGCTGGCTATTGGTGCCGCGCCATACCTCCTCGGTCATTGGGCTGCGCTGCCAACTTCCCACCACTGCGCGGGACGCCCTGTACTCCCTGGTGAGGGACGACGTCTCATTACTGTTGGACAAGGCAAGGTAAGTCTACATGAGGCTCGGTAACCCCTCTTTTTCTTTGTCCTCTCCTCTTCTCTTTTCTCTCTTCTCCTCTCCTCTCTTTCCCCCTCCTCTTGTCCTCTCTTTGTTCTGTGTCTCTACGTCTCGACATCTCTGTTTCCTGCCTTGTCTTCCTTTTCTCTCTCGCCCTCCTCACATCCGGGGAAGATGAAGCTCTCTCTAGTTCTAGCAACTGTCTGCGCAGCCGCCGTCGTTGCAGAACCTCAAGATCTCCAGAGCGCCAAGTCCAATTGGACCGTAGGACAGACGGTCCGGACATCCAGTGGCCCCGTCAGTGGCCATCCTGCCTCCAACCAGTCGCAGGTCTCGGAATACCTGGGCATCCCCTTTGGAAGACCCCCAGTTGGGAATTTGCGGTTCGCGGCCCCCGTGCGATTCAACGGCACGGCCCACCTCAATGGTTCCGATTTCGTGCGTCCCCCCTCGCATCCTGATCATGTTCTTCGCTGAGATAAATAGGGCTTCTCATGTCCCGTAAAACCAAGCTCATCTCCTACCCCTTCACCCCCTGATCTAGCAGCCGCGAACGTGTCGGTAGTTGGGGTCGAAGTCCTTGGGATCCTGGGGAACAGCAAGGCAAAATACAGCGAGGATTGCTTATATCTGAATGTCTGGACGAAGCCGCAGGTTGGAGAGAGGAAGAAGGCTGTAATGGTGTGGATTTATGGCGGGGGATTTAACAGTGGTAGTTCCACAATCAGGGGGTATAATGGGGCGAATATTGTGGAGTTGGAGGATGTAGTCGTTGTTTCTATGAAGTGAGCCTCTGTCCAGGGGCGAGATGAAAGAATTGTCCTGACGCAAGCAGCTATCGACTTTCCATCCTTGGCTTCCCTGGAGATCCAGGAGGCACGCAGAACCTGGGGCTTTTGGATCAGCGGCTGGCGGTCGAGTGGGTGAGAGACAACATAGCGGGTTTCGGTGGTGACCCTTCACGGATCATACTCTTTGGCCAGTCTGCAGGAGCTGCCTCCATCGACTACTACTCCTACGCGTGGAATTCTGACCCCATAGCTGCGGGCTTCATCCCCGAATCTGGAACTGCCTTTTCCTTCGGACTGCCCAACTCCAACTCCAGCGCCGCAGGAGCCTGGTTCAACGTCACCAGCACTCTGGGGTGTGGGAATGCCACTTCGAACAGCAGCGCCGTGCTCTCTTGCATGCGGAGCAAAAACTACACCTCGATCTTCAATGCTGTGCCTGCATCAAATGGAATCGCTGGTATCTTAGGTACCTTCGGCCCCACTGTTGACGACAAGGTGATTTTCTCGAACTATTCTCAACGTACACCCGTCAAACTCCCCATGATGCTCGGGAACAATAACTATGAAGCCGGACTCTTTCGTACCGAGTTCGCCTTGGACGGAATCACCTACCCCGATGCCTTCTGGGATACTTTCAACTTACAGGAATTCACATGTCCTGCGGGAATCCGTGCCAACGCCTCTGTGGCAGCGGGCAATCCCACCTGGCGCTATCGATACTTTGGCGTCTTCCCAGATCTCGCCATCAGCACGGAGGCCGGGACGTGGCATGCGGCCGAGGTCCCGCTCCTCTTCGATACCGTGCCACCGGTGCCAGGGCCGACCAAGCAGGAGATCGCGATTGGCAATTATATGCGTGGAGCGTGGGCGGCCTTTGCCAAAGATCCCGTGAACGGCTTGACGGCTTACGGATGGCCGTTGTACAATGCTTCTGCTCCGACCTTGATCCGACTGGCGTATAATAACCAGACAGGCACGAACGCTGCTCTCCCAAGTCTCTATGATGCGGCCTGTGTGTATGTCAACGTGAGCAGCACGAACACGAGTGCATATTCCACGCTGCCGAGCATGCCTACGGCGACTGCTACCCGTGTGCAGGGGAGTAGTACGACGGGATCTGTGACAGGATCAGTGACGGCTAATACAGCATCGAGTACGCCTACGCAGTCTTCAGAGGGGAGAAGATTGGAAGCTAGTCTGTACGTCGTTGTGACTGCGGGCTTGATTGCTTGGATGCTGTGAGCTGAAGAGCTGAGATTATCTCGTCGGAGTACAGGTTCATGATTTGATTTGTTAATGAAGTTGATGGATAGGATGATAGGTATTTAATTATGAATTAATCTAGAGACCTTGACCTCTTGCTAGCCCTTTTCCTCTCCTTATATATATTCATTCCTCTTGTACTTCATTCACGTCTTTCTAGATCTGGCCTCGACTACCTAACAAACAAATAGAAAGGAACGGGTAGGCATTATTATATACACTTATTTTTATCATCGGCCTTCGCTTGTCCGTGATTGTCATGTAAGGTAGGGGGTGACCACCAACACCGCCCGCTTTGGTCACTAGAGGGGGGGGGGGGGGGGGGGGCAATCGTTGTCAGGGGGTTTGTTTGTTGTGAATCTATATATAAATATGTGATGTTCACAATGATTATTCATCGATTATCTTAATAATAGGTGAATATCTTAATAATAGGTGAATATATATATTCAATAATCTAAGATATCAGGGATGAAGATGAGATCCTAGATTTACCCCTCGACGCTGGTTCTAATAGGAGAGCAAGCATTTATTGTTAATTGGTGATTGTGGTGGTGGTCTAGACGGTGCCAGAGCATGGCACTGCGCATTGATCTTGTTATAAGATATAATCTAAAAAGAAACAGGAATGGGGAATGTGAAGAGAAGTTTATATACTTCTTCTTCCTCTTGAGAATTTAGATAGATATATCATCAGGGGATGTTTTGCCTTACCTAAGCGAGCGAGCGGCTGACATAATCGCCTAGCTTACGTAATGCAGCCGCTCGTCGAACCGCATCTCCATCTCCATCTCATCGCCTCTATCAAAACGCCCAAGAAGAAGAAGGGATTCTCTCTCTCGACACAACGCCAACTTTCAACGTTCGGTATGCATGGTACCTGATTAGTATCCTGATTTTTGGAGCTCTGGCGTACAGGGAAAAAAAAGACTGCAACAGAGACAAGGAAGGGGAGAGGAAGGAAAGGGATCGATCACGTGCACGCAGAAAACAATCAATGTCCGTCTCGACGGCGAACCCGGGCGACGAGAAGCGGTCGACGGAGCCGCCGGGCATCTTGCGGGATCCGGCCGTGACGCAGGCGCGCAAGTGGAACACGGAGATCCCGAATATCTTGCCGCATGAGAGGGTGTTCCCGATTCAGATTGGGAGTCAGTTGTTTAGGTTGAGCGGGGCGAGTATAAGTTCGGATGGTATGTGTGTTTTTTTTTTTTTTTCTCTCTTTTTGGTTTTTGGTTTTTGGTTTTTGATATTGGGTTTGGGGTTGGGGTTGGTTTGATTTGGTTTGATTTGGTTTGATTTGGTTTGAGCTTGGTTGTGGTTGTGGATGTGAGCAGCCTCATATCGAGATTCAAAAACATTCAATTCAAAGGACCCCGCTGAGAAACCTAGAGCACCCTCATACTTCTCCCAGTTCTTCCGCTGCCAGCTGAAGCAGGCCGAGGAAAACGGCGATGATTCCAATACCGTCCGCACCCTCTACATCGATCGCGATCCCGTGACCTTTACGGATATCTCGTTGCATCTACAGGGCTATCATGTTCAGCCTCGAGATGGCAGTCATTTCGTCAAGTTGTTCGCTGATGCCCAATTCTACTCCTGTAGGTTGACCTATTCTATCCGCCTTCTGGAACTTTGCTGATGCATCCAGTACCCCGGTTAATCTCCCAGCTCTATGAAGAGAGCATCTTCATCTCTATTGGACACCGCGATTTCCAGATCCCCCGCGAGCTGTTCTCTGATCCAGGAAATAGCCCCAACTATTTCTCTCTCGGCTTCGCCGTCTTCTTCAGCACACCGTCCGAGGTATTTCCCGGCCTGGACCGCGAAGGACTCCTCCGTCCACCCTCCATCTTACCACCATCAGTCCCCAACCGGTCCGCCGACACCTTCAACGAGATCCTCCATCTTCTCCGCGGCTACCCTCTCCACATCAGGGACGAAGACCACCGCGCCGAGCTCTTACGGGATTGCCGATATTTCCACCTGAAAGGGCTCGAGCAAAAACTCATCCGCCACCAGATCTCCTTCAACCAGTCACGGCGCAAACACGAGATCGCCATCCGTCTCGAAGACGTGCGCCAATCGGGTATCTCCATCGTCTGCGAGCCCTCCTCCTCCTCCTCCTCCACCTCCTCCTCTCCCAGCAGCACTTCCCAAGCCAGCAGCGGGCCCATCGGCTGGGTAAACTACGCGCGACCCTTCGTCGACGAGAAGCCTCACGAGCTCGTTCTCGAGATCGGCGACGAAGCATCCCATCTGCACCTGTCCACCATGCGCGCCGAGTTCTTCGGCGACGCCAAGACGCGCATCTCGCGGCTTCTAGAAGTCATCGCTACGAAGCTGAACCTCTCGACATCGCAACCTCTCGGTCTCCTGATGAAGAGCGGCGGCGGCGCTACCAGCGCGCCCGCTAGTCCGGGAAACAGCGCGCTTAGCGAGGACCATATACGAGTCGTTCTTGACACGGATGCTTATGTGTTGCTCGATGGGAAGGAATGGCGACGGCGAAGAGAGTCGGATGCAGTAGAAGATCCGGACCAGCAGCCGATGAAGAAGAGACAGCGTGTGAATGATGATGTTGATGTTGATGATGATGATGCGGGCTCTTGGATCATCCGCACGGGCCAATGGAGATTAAGAGTGCAAATGGCCAGGAGTCGTGGGAGGCCTCCTCATCCTCCCCCTCCTCCTGGGGTCGAGTGCGTGTTGGTAGCGGTGAAATTGGATGCGCTGTCGGGAGAACGGGCGAGGAACGCGAGGAGGATGTTTTTGGCTGGGTAGGTTGGGGCGGGGGGGG